GAGGGAGAAGAACAGTTTAGTTTAACCAAATTTGAGCATTTCCCCTTTTTTGTTTCTAGATTAAAAAAAAAAAAAATTGCTAATGCTTTGGCACATTCCAAACCAATTGCTTGTCATTTCCTAGACTAATAAGCAAATGGAAAGGAAAGTAATACAAATCACTTAAAATATTTATTAATTAAATTTGTTTTTAAGCAAGCACTTTAAAACAGGCTGTCAGACCCAAGGAGATTCAGTTTTAAAATCTTCCTATTTTTTGCTCATAACATTTTTCAAGGGACAATGTCTATTTTCTTATTAAATATAACTCTGTCAAAGGAATAACATAGATAACCTGTTACCGCCTACTCCTACTTTCAGAGGCCAGACACATGAATAAAGCAAACTTAGATTAACAAGTTCTGACAGTCAGAGAGATTTCATTAATTTCCTGTCAGCATCCTAAACTTGCCATCAGTATGTAGGTGCACATAAAAGTTTTATTGATAAACATCTTTTAACAATGAACAACAGCTTTAGAAAAACTGGATTTATTTTTGTATGCCTTGTGTTGACAGGGGTGTGTCAGCTCCTGCCAGGTTATTCCCCATTCACCACTGGAGTGGAAGAGGCAGGGCAGGAAGCCTGAGAGGGACTTCCCCCCCCTTCCCCAAGCAAGCCCCAGCTTGGGATCCAGGGCCAGGGAAGGAGTTTAAACCCTTTCCCTGGCCCTAGACCCCGGCTGGAGTTAGCTGGTCAGGGGGCAGTCCCTCCCAGGCTGCTGCCCACCCCCCCCCCACTTAGGTGGTGAGCATGGGGCATGGCCATACCCTGGCCGGGTATAGTTTCCCTAGGACGGCAGCTCAAGTGGAGAGCAGGGGGTGTGGCTATGCTTTGTCCTGGGGCCAGTGCACTGAGCCAGGGAAGGGGGTTTAAACCCCCTCCCTGGCCTGCACAGGACACCAGCCCAGGTCTGTCTTGGGGGAAGGAAGCTCTGAGACCACCTGCTGATGTCCAAGAAGGAATTTCTAAATACGTGGTTGTAAGGAGACACTCTGCCTTTAGGATTATGTAAGACTTATGCAAGGCTTGCTCTTGTCTATTTTGGTTTATTACCTTCCATTTTAAGTTAGACCAAATTGTGTGCTCTCACTGTATTTTACTGGGCTGTAACTTAGGCAAAGATTTTTGGTTGTTCTTTGTTGTCTGCTTGAGGTTTGAAATTGCTGTGTTCTATATATGCTCACTTCAGAGAAAGGACTATCTTGGTTTAAGCTTTTATTAATTCAGTGCCACTATCTTTTTCTCCACTCACTCCCTCCTCAGCCTGAAAGGGGTACCCTTCTCCCACTCAATCAGGGAGCTGGGTGGGGGCTGGTATTGGCACAAGCCTGGCAGGTGCTGCCCCCCTGCCTGGGGTCTCATGTGGGCCATGGTGGGGGGTTTAAAGCACCCCTCCCCCTGGCCTCAGGGTGCTAGCCCCAGGCTGGAGCCTGGCCAGGCCTCCTCTACTCGAGCAGAAAGGGGGGAAAAAAAAGCCTTACAGCTTCAGTCCCTTTCCTTTGGCAGTAGCTGGCAAGCATGCTCTAGCCTCCCCTGGCTTCTGGCCTGAGCCAATGCAGGCATGTAGCTGCACTTCCTGAATAAAAAGTGAATGTCTGTTCACTTGCTTCTCTGTTTAATCCTTAGACGAACCTCCAAAAACTGAATTCATTCAGCCTCGGGCTTTTTGACTGTCTGTACTTAGCTTTAATGTTGGCCAGAAGGACACAAAATGGCCTTTGCTGGCTCTTCAGCAATGAAAAAGTAGGATGGTCCAATAACATTTACATTTTTAGGCAAGGATGTCACCTTTGATCACATAAGAGGGAGAAGAACAGTTTAGTTTAACCAAATTTGAGCATTTCCCCTTTTTTGTTTCTAGATTAAAAAAAAAAAAAATTGCTAATGCTTTGGCACATTCCAAACCAATTGCTTGTCATTTCCTAGACTAATAAGCAAATGGAAAGGAAAGTAATACAAATCACTTAAAATATTTATTAATTAAATTTGTTTTTAAGCAAGCACTTTAAAACAGGCTGTCAGACCCAAGGAGATTCAGTTTTAAAATCTTCCTATTTTTTGCTCATAACATTTTTCAAGGGACAATGTCTATTTTCTTATTAAATATAACTCTGTCAAAGGAATAACATAGATAACCTGTTACCGCCTACTCCTACTTTCAGAGGCCAGACACATGAATAAAGCAAACTTAGATTAACAAGTTCTGACAGTCAGAGAGATTTCATTAATTTCCTGTCAGCATCCTAAACTTGCCATCAGTATGTAGGTGCACATAAAAGTTTTATTGATAAACATCTTTTAACAATGAACAACAGCTTTAGAAAAACTGGATTTATTTTTGTATGCCTTGTGTTGAGCTTGCATGACAAAAAAACAACAGATCTAATTCTTGTCTCAAGTTTCACACTCGTGAAATTACACTGACTTCACTGGCAGACCTTCTGATTTGCACCATTACCATGAATTGTTGTTTTCTACCTTTGGTGTTGAATCTTATTCTGCCTTGCTTAGCTGTACAATGAAGAGAGTCTTGCTTTCTAAAATTTTTGCCCCTATTTTTAGTGGTTAAACCCCCACCTGCCAGATCATCCGTGTCTCCTTCAGTGTTATTTCTGCCTAGTCATGTGACACTAACTCTTGTCATCCTGTGCTTTAACCATCCTGTTACTGCAAGAGACAGTCTTGATGAGTCACCTGTGTCAAACTATACAGTTAGGGTCTGGTAGGCTTCCTGGATAGTGGCAATGCCAATGAGATGCAATGGAAAGTCTTAGAAATTCTTTGCATATCCTCAGAAGGTGCTCTCTTTTGTTGAAGACTAAAGGGAGCCACAAAAACCAATTACACTATTTACTGCTTTATACAGTTCTTAGCACACTTAAGAAGTCATGTAAACATTTCCTTAGCAATAAAGATGAGAAACTTCTACAAAAAACAATCTCTATCCATATTCTGCCACACTTTAAAATTACCTTCTTCTACCAATTTACATTTATCTTTTCTATTCTGACTTGAGAAGATTTTAGTTATAGTAGCACAAATGTTTGAAAAAACTACATTTTAAAAAGGTACATGCACAAGTATTTATGTTTAAAATAATTAACTACTCAATCCAATCAGTGAACAGAAACAGTATCATGTTATTTACCTGACTAGTTGTAACATGCATCACAAACAGCCAACAGAAAGAAAGCAAGAGCTGTAGAATAAATACATTTTATTTTCCACATTTTACAATTAGGGAAGTGTGACAAGGGACCAGGTTAAGGCTGGATCTCAACACTGGCCCGCCCACCTGTCTGTGTGAGGTAGTCCACCCAATCTCACATGCCACGACTTGCTGTTCCATAAGGTGACGTAAAATGTGGGAGGCTGCCCATTTTACTGCCCCAATGCCAGGGGGCATTGTCCATGGATCCGTACCATCTCTACACCATGTCCCATGCCTCATAGATGGCATCATAAGATGATCACAACTCCAGCCCGAGGCCAGAGCAACTCTGCCCCTTGCTGGGCCTCTCACATACTACTGACACACTCTGCCCTCTCACAGGCCTCTTACATACTTCCTCTTACTGGTCCACTCTCAACCCACTCTGCTTCTCTTGAGCAACCCCCTTTGGCCATCAGACTTGCCTACTCTCATACTGGCCAGTGCACAGGCAGTACCTTTGGGTCACTTGAGCTTCCCTACTCTACAAAGGCAATAATCTTATGCCTCAACACTGGGCTGAACTCTGCCCCTATCCCCTTCTGGGGAACTCAAACAAGTCCTTGCTCTTGTGGGGGTTGGGCTCTGTACAGCCCTTCAGATTGCTTGAGCAACCCTACTCTACACACCAGCCGCGTAGCCCTTCAGGCCTATTCTACAGACCCTATTCTACACCCCAATACACAGTCCTTCAGGCACCACTGTGCACCCTACTCTGTGCAGGCCTCCAACACAATTTCACCCTCTGACCAGGGCTCCCTTTCTGCTCCCACACTGGGGTCAACTCTATGCCCCATCACTGGGACTCAGGATCTTACACCACAGATATACCTGGCCCCCAATGCCTGTTCCAATGTAAAATTACCCACTGGGTAGTGGGAGCTGGGGTTATAAGGTGTGCCTACCCACTTTTCACTGGGGAGGCAGCTGACCTGACATTTCTGAGGAGTTGCCCCACCAGGTCATCCTTCCCCAGCAGGATGCAGTTTCAAGTCATAACCAGGACCAGGAGCTGCCTACCATCCCCATAGCTCCTGTTCTTACCTCCATGGATGTTCCAAGCAGCAGCTCATCCAGGTGTTGTCCTTTGACTGCCAGCAGCTGAATACTACCTCATTCCTGAGAGCCTGGATCTAAAATGGAGGCAGCTCATCCCTCTCCTCCTATCCCAGGACTCTCCTGCAGTCATGTGACTGCCTCATTAGAGCTATCCCACACCTGCAGGCTGCCTTGCTGCCTGCTCACAAGCCTTAAAGTGGCAGGCACCAAAGGTGCCCCGCCACAGGGAGTGATGACAGAAGCCATCTTATTTTCTGAATTCCACTGTTTTAATCCTATTCACTTAAATGGGCTACCCTGTATTTATCCCAATGTACATGAGATAAGCATTTGGCCCACAAAGGTCATACAAGTTGCCCAAAGCACACAAGGTAGTAGAAAACATTAGATTAGAACTCAGGAACCCATAGGCTGTACTTATTCCACTACACCACTTGGACTCTCATACTGCAGTGAGACCATACTATTCATATTACTAGACAAATTAAAACCAGACTGGGAAAAACATAACACTTTAAAACAACCTTCTATACCATCCCCTAAGAACTCTGGCTTTAGCAGTTTCTTTCTACCTTCGATTTCTACTGTGGATTCCTAGAAATTCATAGAAATAATTTAAAAACACAACTAAAATTCATTCCAATCAAAATTCACTTCATAAAAGCAGAATAGAGAAGATGACTATTACCTTGGCAGGTTCGTTCATCTGTTAGTAGTTTGTAGCCTTTCTGACAGCTGCATTCAAAGCTGCCAACAGTATTTCGGCAGAAGTGATCACAGCCACCATTGTTTACCAAGCACTCATCAATGTCTGAAAGGAAAGGATGGGAAAAGATTAGTTTAATTTCAGGAATACTGATGGGAATATGAGAGTTTGTCCAGTTCACAAACCAAGTAGACTGCTGGCAACATCAAGAATTATAAGAGGAAAATAACATTCCCTCTTCCCACCCGTTCTTGGTAATCCGAATAAAGGCAAAGGATTGAACAGACCTGGAGACTGAAGTACTTCCTTTAGAAATGGTGCCCAGGGGTACTGCAGGCTGAGGTAATTTGGTAGAAAATGCTAGGAAGCCAGCACTGCTGTGCCTCAAATATACCTGTTCCTAAGGATAAATGCAAGACTTCAGTCTCTAGGGATGTTAATCCACTACCTTTAGGAAGAACTAATTCACATTAAAAATTTAGAAAATGGCTTTTATTAAAGCACTATATGGATTTGTCCCTAGTATAAATACAGGCTCTACTGAATATCATCTACCCTGTGTATGCATACCTGAGGTGGAGCACCTTTGGGATGCTCGCCACGTGGAAGGGGCTGCAGCAGGCTGGGACAAAGCCAGAAGGGAAGGCAGCCAAGTGAATCCCCCAAATGTCATTCTAAGGGGGGAGGTGTGTGGTGAAGCACCTTTGGGGGGTGCTCACCACTGGAGGGCTTTCACAGGCTCTCAGGGGAGCCTGATTTGGAAGAGCAGTAGGGGAAACCTCCCTCAGGAACTATTTTAAGGGGGGAGATGTGTGGCTGGGCACTGTTGGTGCCCGCCACTTTAAGAGCGGAGCCAAGCAGCCCACAGGTGCTTGATTGTGGCAGCCATTTTAGATCTCTGATCGCCTGCAGGGCAGCTTGCTGATGGCAGGCCTGGCAGTAAGGTTCTATGCAACTTCCTGGAGGTAAGGGCAGGAACTGTAGGGGATGGTTTGGAGGCTCCTGGTCCTGGGTATGATCTAAACCTGCACCCTGCCAGCAGTGGGTGGTCTCGTGGGGCTGTCAGTGGTACAGAAGCCCCCAGGAAATGCCAGGCCAGTTACCACCCCCGTGAAAAGTGGTAGGGGCACCTTAACCCTAGCCCTCACCTTTGGGTGGGTTACATAATATTGGAGGTAGTGGGGCCAGGCATGGCTGTGGCCACCTGAGCCTTGTGGGGTGTAGGAACCCAAGGAAAGGTAGTTGGGGCCAGGCATAGCTACAGCCATCTGAGCCCGCTGGGGAGGGAAGCCCTGTGGCCCCAGTGTGGGTGTGGTGGGAAGCCTCTGTGAGGCGGCTGACCCATGTGAGGGGAGTAGACCAAGGTATGTCTTCGGGCACCTGGGGCTGTAGTTTGGGCCAGAGGCCGAGTAAGGGGGGCTCAGCCTGAGAGATAGAGGTGAGTCCTGACCCTGGTAAGTCTTTCACCACTGGGAGGCTGTGTGTGGGTTGAAAGTGAGACCTATAGTTGAGCACAATGACCTGCTGCTCTGGGGGGAGAGGGGGGAATGAGTCCCTGTGAGACCCCGGAACACCAGTTGTGGTGTGAGTTAAGAATGCCCTGGTGAGGGGTGATCCCAGACAGGGGGCTGAGGTGAGGAACCCCAGTGTGGGGGGGAAGAAAAACCAGAGGGTTGGGGGCCCAGTATGTATAAGTGTATAGAGTTGCCCTGGAAGAGGCCAGGGTAAGCTTAGACCTGGTTGGATAATTGGTTGGCCATTACCCCGGTGAGGGTCATGGAGAAGCCCAAAAGATTGTACATCTGCCACCCAAGGTATGAGCTAGCTAAAGCCTATGGCCTAAGGGGCCTGGTCCAAGAGGGAGCAAGGCAGTATAAGTAATCGATGTGTGAAAGAGACCCTGTGAGAGAGGGTGGAGTATGAGAGGCCCTAGTGACAGGAGGGTGGTATGAATGTGCATGTGTCTGAGGCCTGACAATGAGGCTTAAGCTTGGTCTGGCTGCAGGCCGGGAGCACATTGTCATCTGGATGCCATTTGCGAGGCTTGGGCTGCAGTGTAGGGGGGGAATGGAGTCACAGATAGCGCCCCCTGGAATCAGGGCAAGAATGGGCAGCCTCCTGCCTTAATTAATATCCTAATTAATTAACAACAAGGCATGGCAGGTGAGACAGGTGGGTGGCATGCCTAAAGGCAAGTGGGGAAACTAGCACAGCGGCTAGTTGGAGAGTCCTGCTTTTTGCCACAATACCCATCCAGTTTGCTGCACTATTCATGTCGGGCCCATTCAGAATTACTTGGAGGTGTTGTTTTCCAATCCAGATGCATGCGGCACTTCCACTGAATTTATTCGGGAGTCACATGCATAGATGGAGGTCAGAATGAAGTGTTTGTCACAGTAGTGTAAGTGGAGGGGGGTGGGTTGGTGGGGCAAAAATAGTAGCAGGTGCCACCACCATTAGCAGTACAAGTAGTGATGGTCTGTGCACTGCTGCTGCCTAGTGCACTTGAGCATTCAGTTATGCATCCGATCTGTCACATGAAGCAATTCTTAAGGTACTGGGAAGGTTCCTGAAGGACAAGATACATTCCATCTTACATTCCTCAAGATGGGGAACCCCAGCACTTCCTACTGGGGTTAGGAATTGCTGGGATGTTTAACTCCCTTCTCCACCTCACATGGCCTTGCAGAACTAAACTTCCATTTGAAATATTGACCATCTTAACTGTACTCTCCCAGGCTGAGGATTCAACTTAAGTTACAGATTCAAAACTCATTTGAAAACAGGTTATTTTTAGGGGAACAATGTGTCTTTCTTTTGGGAATTTGTATCGTAGGAGAGGTAACATGCCACAGACAGATAGTAGCATATTCTTCTGGATAGGAAGCAACACCTAACATGACATAATGGTCTTAGAAAGTGATTTTTCCCAATGACCCAGAAAGGCTCTTACCAGCAAAACTTGGAAATTTTCAGGAATATCAATTGACCATTTAAAAAGCAAATCATGCTAAGAGTAAGTCTAGGTGTTAAAAGACTTATCATATAGAGATGGAAATCTGCCAAAGATATCAGTGTTGCTGTTGAGTGACATGGCAGTAAGAAAGAGATACTGTAATTTATAGGAGAGTTTGGGAGATTGAAAGAGATGTTTTGTTTTATATTTTTGGAAATGCCACTATGTTATTATTAATACCTATAAAGAATAGACATTTAAATGCCGCCCCTCCCCCCTTATTGGGAAAAGCAGAGGTGACCCAGGCACCAGCACTACGACCCAGTGTCAGCCTCCCGGATCCAGAAGCTATATCAGGCCAACCGTCCCAAGGCGGTGAGAGAGATCCTGGAGGGACCCTTGGCTTTCTGCCAGGTCCCCCGGGAAACTCTGTTCAATTATTTCAGCAGGGTCTTCAACCCCCCAGCAGAAGCCACCGCCCCACGCCCTGTGACCGTCAAAGTGCTGACCCCCGTTCCCCCAGTGGAGGGGCTCGAGGATGTCTTCACACCGCAGGAAGTGGAAGCCCACCTGAAGAGGACTAGGGACACCGCCCCTGGCAGGGACTGTATCAGGTACAGTCTCCTTAAAAAACGTGACCCGGGCTGCCTTGTCCTTTCTGTTCTTTTCAACAGGTGCAGAGAGTTCCGGCGCACGCCTGCCATCTGGAACAGGGCCATGATGATCCTCATCCACAAGAAGGGAGACCCAACCGACCCCGGGCAACTGGAGATCCATCGCCCTGTGCTCCACTGTCGCCAAGCTGTACGCCAGCTGCCTGGCGGCCCGCATTGCCGACTGGACAGTGACTGGCGGGGCCACCAGCCGGAGCCAGAAGGGCTTCATGTCTATGGAGGGCTGCTATGAGCATAACTTCACCCTCCAGATGGCCCTGGACAATGCCCGGAGGACTAGGAAGCAGTGTGCGGTGGCGTGGCTGGACATCTCCAACGCCTTCAGCTCCGTGCCCCACCACCACATCTTCGGCATCCTCCGTGAGCTGGGCCTACCGGATGGTGTCATCGACCTGGTGCGAGAGCTCTACCACGGATACACCACGACCGTCTGCACCACCGATGGAGAGGCCGCTGAGATCCCCATCTGGTCAGAGGTGAGTCAGGGCTGCCCCCTCAGCCTTATCTTCAACATAGCCATGGAACCACTCCTTCGAGCCATGGCAGGCGGCCCCGGTGGGCTCGACCTGTACGGCCAGAAGTTGAGCATCCTGGCCTACGCCGACAGCCTCGTTCTCCTTGCCCCTGATGCCACCCAGCTGCAGCAGATGCTGGACGTGACGTCCGAGGCGGCCAGGTAGATGGGCCTGCACTTCAATGTCCGCCAAGTGCGCCTCCCTGCACATCGACAGGAGGCAGAAAAGCCGCATCCTGGACTCCACCCTCACAATCCAGGGCCAGGCGATGAGGCACCTGTGTGACAGCGAGGCCTACTGCCACCCGGGGCTGCCCACCGGCCACTGGGCCAAGCAGACACCAGAGGAGACAATCAACGGGATCATGCCGCCAACAAGCTGGACTCATCCCTGCTGGCCCTTTGGCAGAAGATAGATGCTGTGAACACCTTCCTCATCCCCCACGTCGCATTCGTCCTGAGAGGCTTGGCAGTCCCCAAGACCCCCCTCAAGAAGGCGGACGCCAAGATCCAGTGGCTGCTCAAGAAGTGGCTGCACCTGCCGCTAAGGGACAGCAATGAGGTCCTGCACATCCCCTACTGGCAGGGGGGTGTCAATGTCCCCTGCATGGGAGACCTCTGCGACATCGCGGTGGTCACCCACGCCTTGCGCCTCCTGACCTGCCTGGATGCAATGGTAATTACCATTGCCACCAGTGCCCTCGAGGAGACCACCTGCAAGAGGATCGTGAGGCAGCCAACCGGACATGACTTGGCCACCTTCCTCAGCGGCTCGCTGGAGGGCAAGTTTGGCAGAGATGGCAGGGACTTTGCCTCGCTGTGGAGCCAAGCCCGCAACGCCATGCGCCACCTTGGGAAATGCATTGGCTGCGCCTGGACCTGGACCAAGGAGTGCTGGGAGCTGGGAGTCTCCCTGCAACCAGGCCCACACACTGACCGCGTCACTGTGACACCCTGCATG